TTATTTTATTCAGCTCGATTTTGGGAGATTTATCAAAAGCACATACTCCCAAATGGCTTATATTTCATTTTTCAGTGGAGTTTAGTTTACAATTTTCAATTTGTCTATTATTGGTATGTTAAAAACTTGTTTAATTTTAAATTTTATAAATATCTCAAACAAAAAAATATAATTAAATGAGATTCTTTTCTTTATAATACCTTATATTTTTACTTAAAATTATGTATTTTAATTATTTTGATTTATTTTAAGTTAAAAAGTTAGGTTACACTCTACAATTAGTTAAAAAATTAATTTCTTTGATTCCAAAGAACCATTTATTGGGTACCAATAAATCATTTGTTAAATACTACTAAATATTTATTTGGTGGAACTAAATGGGCTTTAATAAATAATTTAGTACCTATTACTAAATATTTGGTAATGAAAGCTCTGTTACTAAATCTTATTAAATAGAACAAAATCCTTCTATCAGTAGCGTAGATGATAAATTCAGAACATGACCATATCAGAAATTTTTTTACGAGTAATCCGTTTTACTTTTCGTATAAAATAAAATTTTGGATCATTTAAACAAATAAAGTTTTGAAAGTTGAATGCGAAACGCCGGAGACTGTTGGATTACTCTGGGATCCCTTGACACCCATAAACTCCTTATGTCCTCCTAATAGCCGAGTCGTCTTTACGTCCTTGGTTCACCCTTTGGCTCAACTTTCTCCCCTCCGGCCTCGTCATCTTATTTTACCCTCGATGAATCAACCCCGAAGAATAATACCGCTCGCATATCTCCTATTCTTTATCTTTCCAGCTGATTACTTGTCTCAACCGCATTCTCCCTCTAATACTTGTATTATTACATTATATATAGAGCATTCTACCACGGTTTTATTGAAAAGAAAGTTTCCTCTTTTTCGTATTTAGACTCCCAATATCCCAGAGAGAACCCAGAAGCTCCCTTATCCCTTTGCAGAGTATCCCTCGAAAACTGTGCGGATAGTTGCTCCAAATAGTTGGACTCTCAAAGGGAAATGAATTGCGATAGAGTCTACCAAAGCCGATGATGCTTTATCCCTTTGTTCTTACCAATATCAACTCTCCTTCTCTTTGTACGAAAAATACCTCTACGACTTGGGTTTTTATCTACACGCGCCATTAGGAAACAATGGGAGAAAGCTGAAAATAGTTTCATGAACTAGGTACTGTTTTGTAGCATTCCTTGAAAAAATTGTCTGATATATCCATCCGTGATTTTTAATATGTCCTTATGTGACTTGATACCTCAATATTAAGCTTCATATGATCATATATAATTTTTTTATTAATTATTAATGATAGTCTTAAAAATCTCCGGTAGGTGGCGCATGATAGCTAAATTATCTCACTGCAAGAGAGTTAAATTTCAGAAACTAAATTATAAAATGAAAATTTTCCTTCACATTTTTATTACAAAATTCAATTAAATATATTTTTTTTCACAATAATATAATTTTTTTTACTCAAAAAAATAAAAATTTTTATTCATTGAAAATATATAAAAATTTATAATTTTTTTATGCTCACATATGACTATATAAAACTCAATATAAAAATTGACCATCTAAAAACATTTTTTTTTTCTATAATAATTTTAATAAAATTTTATTATTCTTAATGCAATAATCCAAAGTTGAAAAAGTCGTAATGTCGAATAAAAATATAAATGACTAGAGTACAGAGAGTACAGAGACAGAGAATAAAAATAAGTAATACCGCACAAGTTCCATTAAGCACTTGACTGTTAACTTTTACGGTGACCTATTAAAAGAACTGGAAGTAAGTAAAAGAGTTTGATAAAAAAAAATTTTATAAATTTTTTTACTAAGACTTAGATTGAATTCTTAAAGTTATATTTTAATATTAATATTAAAATTAATATTCATTCATCCTCAAACAGATAAAATATAAAATATAAAAAATGATCAATTATAAACGTCAATACCGTAATGGATTTTCGTGTTGCTTTTAGTTGTCTAAGTAAAAAGTTTTGAAAGAATTCACGGAAATGCTTTATATTATTTTTTGGATTTTATCTTGAGAATATCTATTTAATTCTTACGATAAATCGAACCGGCTATTCTCGGTCTACAACTTTAAAGTTACGAGGCAAATAACTTGTCGAGATACCAGAGAAATAAACTTAAAAAAAAAAAAAGTAAAATAAATGTGTATATAGGTATAAGAAAAAATAAATAAAAATAATAAAAAGATACCGAGGAGGAAAAGTGCAGTGAAAATAGAGACAAAATTTTAAAGTCTAAGAAATGTATTGCCCTGAGCTGAGAAAAGTTACAGCCGTTTGCCAAGAGAGCCATCCAGAAATGGCTTTATGGACTCTTGCAACCAAAAATCTTTATTTAGATTTTTAAAAAATTTATTTATGTTATTTCATAAAAAGTAAACGTCAAAGAGATAAGAGCTTAGACGTTTTTTAAAATACAACAAGACTCAGTTGGTCTTTAAGCAAAGCCTGGGATTTATCAGTGAGCTCTCTCGGCTCACACTCGCAAGGCATGCGGTAGAGGATGGCATTAGAAAATTCACAAGAGCGCATATAAGGATTCCGTGCCCTAAGATACATGTGCATTAAATATACATATCTTTTTATAAAATATTAACATTAACACTAATATTAACATATATATAAGCAGACTAATATTGTGTTATTCACTAAAAGGCACGCACGTAACTACTGAGCATGCAGCATGAATATTTTGTTAACTACTCTACAGCGAATTTTATTCTTCAGCTCTTCTCTTCTCTTCATATTACATATTTAAATCATAACCATTATTTATACATACATCCATACATATGTATGGACTTATTTTCTTAACCTTAACACATATCCTCGTGACGTTCTATCACGTCTCTAATTTAATTCCTTTGATATAAACACCCACTCCTTTAAACGAGTCAACTATTATTTTAGTAATTATCCAACAATATGGCTATCGTAGTTTTTATTTTCTGAAGATTTTTTTAGAAAACTTTAACGTCATTGCAAAGATCTTGAGTTGAATTTGTGCCTTTTAAAGGTTTCATATCATTCTCACCGATAGTCAATTTATTATGATGTATTTAGAATGCATTCGAAAATTATTTATCTTTAGATACATACTTAAGAAATGACCTTTTATTTTGTGAAATATTGACATTTTTAAAGATATCAGCTCACCCCAATGTTACACTCATCAAGAGCTTTCATTTGAGTACCCACATCAATTTTTCATATATTTTACATATAATATATAAATATATTCGGGATGAGTTTATATCTTTAAAAATATCAATAATTAAGAAATAACCTTGTATATTTTCATCTACTGACATTTTTAAAGATATAAGCTCAGAGTACCCACATCAATTTTTCATATATTTTATATATTTATATATATGAATATATGAAAAATATATCAAAAATTCATGTAGGTACTCAAATTAAAGCCTTTGATGAGTGTAACATCGGAATGAGCTTATATCTTTAAAAATGTCAATATTTAAGAAAGTACAGTGCAATTTAACAAAAGTCATTATTTAATAAAGCAAAATTTTATTTATTTATAGTTTACAAGTCACATAGTAACAAGGTTGCTAGTAATAATAATGATACTAAAGTATTGATTTAAATAAAAAAAAAAAAAGTATCTTATCATGAAAATTAGCCGTAACTCTTAAGCTCTCAGTGGCAGTCAATCTTGCGGTTATCGAACTCGAGACTTTTTGAGAGCAAAAGCAAAAAGGTATCGGACTGATTTAAGACGAACCGGTAACTCTTTTCATTACCTGACGAACGGAATAAGAGGAAAAGTACGAAGTCGAAGAAGAAAAATAAATAAAAGAAACGAAGAACCACTTCGGTACTAATGATCACGTGACTTACTGAGCGCCTCTAACGACCGCGTCACTGAACTAACACCGAACTATAGTTAAGAGTTTAAAGCTTTAGAAAAGTTTAAACACTATTACTTTTGTTTTTATTTTTCTTTTCATTATTATCTCTAATCAGTATCATAAATCCTTTGATAACAATCCTTTTATTTTTTATTATTATTACGCTAGTTTAGTCTTGTAATGACTTTCAGTGTAATGGTTGAGTTTAAAGATTACGATAGCCAACTTGTTGTTTAATGTAACTCATCTTAATGAAATCCTTTACAACTTATTTTTTACAATTATAATTATTATCGCTATTATTATCCTCAAAGTAAAATTAATTATGGTCCTCAAACGAAGTGGTCGCTGAACCCTCTTACAAAATAATCCTTAGGATAAATAATGGATGCTATAATAATAAATACCATTAGAATGCATGGATAATTGCTTGCAAAATATTACGCGATTAAAATTATTTTAGTTTGAGGCTCTAAGAGAAAATATTATATTATTATTATTAATTATTTAACAAAGGGTATTAAATTAAAATTAATTAAATAGGGAATTTAAAGATCGCGACGGCTTCGTTCTTGGACTATTTTTTAAGTTTAATAATAATTTTAATTATTTATTATTATACATAATAAACCAAGCACTCAAACAATGTAATATTTAAATAGGAACGTTGAAGTGAGGTCGAATGAAGATAAATTTAAATCCATAAATTAAAAATTTATTACTCAAAAGTTTGTTTCAACATTTCCCTTCTCTGCTCTTATACCATATAGTATGTGCATATTTAGATGAGCTTTTATAAATTTAGATAAATTACTTGCTATCCTAATAACATTATTTTCACAACTATAATTATAATATTACTTTAACAACTATTATTTTTAGTGCTGCTACTACTATTATTATTATTGTTATTATTATTATCATTATACTTTTAACATATTCATTTAGTTCCGTATCTTCAACGTTCATTTTCGTCTCTCAAGTTAATGTATACAAAACATATAAATGTATGCATATATTATGGCTTGAGAAATGAAATTACCTCGTCACAAACTAACTCTCTAAAACATATGTACATGTATATTGTATATAGATATATATTTATGATATTTTATGTGTCATCCGGGATAATATAGGATTTCACGTTGGATTTCTACTTCCGGCAATTTTGGACTGACCCGCGGCTTGCGTTTAAAAAGCGGCCTGGAGTTGAAACGCTCAGCGTCGGTTCGGAATTTATTAAAAATATCTGGGTACCAGATACATTTTTTGTCAACGAAAAACAGTCGTACTTTCACATTGCCACCACCAGCAACGAGTTCATTCGTATACATCACTCTGGCAGTATTACACGGAGTATACGGTGAGTATATTATTTCAATTTCTGATAAAATGATATTATATTTCTATTTTTTTTTTATATTGAAGGGGATTCTAGTCTAGGAATTGAAAAAAAAATATTTTGTATATTTTCAAAATTTACTCAAAAATATTTCATAGAAATTTTTCAAAATTTTAATTATTAACCAAATTATATACGGAAGGAATAAAATTATATGATCTACAATACGAAATTTTGAGTATTGATCATCTAAGATAATAGTAAAATTTGGTCAACGTTGAAATAATTAGTCTTATCTATATTATTAAGAGAATAAGCAAAATTTTGTGGCCAGTGTATTTATAATATAAAATGAATTTTTATGGTTAAATTTGGTATCGTTGGAAAAGTCTTGACCTGGAGTTGTGCCTTTTTATGGTTTCATGTCATTATCACCAATAAATTTATGATGATAAGTATTTAGGCTGCATTCGAAAATACTCTATCTCTAGATAGATAATTAGGAAATGACCTTGTATCTTGTGAACTATTGAAATGACTTACGTCAGGAAAATATCTATAAGAATATTATAAACCAGTCTTTAGAAAAAAATAAAAATATTAAAAATAATAATAATAATAATAAAATCAATTTTTGATATTCTTATTATTATTATCTATAATATTAAAAGAATTAAGAAATGACCTTGTATCTTGTGAACTATTAATATTTTTAAAGATAAAAGCTCATCCCGATGTTACACTCATCGAGACCTTTCATTTGAGTACCCACATCATTTTTTCATATATTTATATATATTATATATATGTATATATGAAAAATATATCAAAATGCATGTGGGTACTCAAATAAAAGCTCTTGATGAGTGTAACATCAGGATGAGCTTATATCTTTAAAAAAGTCAATAGTTAATAAAGTACAGTGCAATTTAACAAATATCTTGTGAAATATTGACATTTTTAAAGATATAACCTCATCCCGATGTTACACTCATCAAGACCTTTTATTTAAGTACCCGCATCATTTTTTCATATATTTCATATATTTATGTATAAGATATATGTATATATAAAAAATATATCAAAAATGCATGTGGGTACTCAAATGAAAGCTCTTGATGAGTGTAACATCGGAATGAGCTTATATCTTTAAAAATGTCAATAATTAAGAAATGACCATGTATCTTGTCAACTACTGACATTTTTAGAGATATAAGCTCACCCTGACATTACACTCATCGAGATCTTTCATTAAAGTACCCACATCAATTTTTCATATATTTTATATATTTATATATATGTATATATTAAAAATATATCAAAATACATGTGGGTACTCGAATGAAAGCTCTTGAAGAGTGTAACATCGGGATGAGCTTATATCTTTAAAAACGTCAATAGTTAAGAAAGTACAGTGCAATTTAACAAAAGTCATTATTTAATAAAGCAAAATTTTATTTATTCTTAATTCACAAGTCACGGCAGTCATATAGTGACTGCAAGGTTGCTAGTATTTTTGTAATTAGAATTAATAATCATTTAATAGAACTTTCTACAATAAAGTATCCTAATATTTTGTAAAATAAAATTTCACAGCTGTTATTACTATAAATAATTGTAAACAATTTAATTCTCTCCGTGTTTATTAAAAAAATAAAATTAATTATCTTGAAACTTTTTAAAATATGATTAAATAATTGTTAAAAATATACCAATTAGTTTTTTTTTTAAAGAGCTTCAAAAAGCGTTCTAAATTGTGTCTCTAAACTAAAACACCCTTTAAACAAATAAAATACAAACACAAAGTTTAAGTAATAAAATTGCTACTGTACCGAAATTTAACAATGAATTTATATACGTAAAGGCCCTTAAGCTTGTCTCGGTGAATTTACTTTGACAGTATTAACACAAAGCGGATCAGAGTCAATTTAAAGGGGCCCGAGAAGTCGGACGGGGTTGTACTACTGTACAACAGCAGTAGTATAAGCATTAACAGGAGTCCTTTCATCGAATCTCAGATACTCTAACCTATTTCACGGGTCTTCTCGTCTTGTATTTACCTTTCTACTCTCGAATCCTATTTTACGACCGCTGGTTACTATATCGAACAAGCACTATACTATTACCAGTACAAGTATTCCTCGCGGTAGTACATGCTTCGAACAGCACTCACCCTCTGCTCGGATATTTCCGTATTAACATTTCAAACTGAACTGTATTCAGAAGCCATCCCTTTACGGAGTATCATTCGTACAATGGACAGCGATTTATCTCTTTAATTAAACAACTAATATAAATAGTATAAATAGACGAACTTTTAATAATTAACACGCAGAGAGCTTTTTAAATTTCATAACAATTTATTGCCAAAAGAGCGAATGTGGGTATAATATACAATAGAAGAAAAAAGTATTTTACGGGCATGTTGAATTTATGAGGAGATTATTTTTTATGACCGAGGTACGATAAAAAGATATTTAAAAAGTTATATTAAAAAGGAAAAATTTAATGTAGGGAATTTTCTTGCCACTTTTTTCGTTTTTTTTTTTTTCAGTAGGTGGATATGATAAGGGATGAGGAATGAGGGACTACAGGAAGCCTGGTATTGGAATTTTTCATTGGCCACAGGCAATAGCGTCCATCCGGAAGGCTAACGCAGAGCATTTAAACCCCGTTAGATGTACATTAAGCGGGTGAAATAAACTATCGGGTGTATTCAAACTTCCTGGTGCCCTTTAACTACCGGTTTAACCATTCCCACATATAAAACTGATACTGATAAGGTTTAACTATCCCCGACTCAATCCCATTTAGGCTAATTATCTTGTTAATTGCCGTGAATTATTATTTTTATGCCATGGATTTAATTTAGCATTTTTTTCTTTTGCGGATAAGTAGCCGTTTTTTTTAATATTAGCATCAATATGTGGCGATAGAAAATGTTGGAAAGATTATGGAGGGCAAAAACCAAACGATAATTTAATGTGTATGATTGACGAGCGAATGAGGAAAATGAGAAACGTCAGATTGCGTGAGACGGCCTCGTTATCAGAGCAGTATGATGACGGTTCGACCTTACACTAATATCGATTGCCTTTTAGTTTCCCACTAGTCTACTGTATACACTCCTAACTCCTATCCCGGCTAATTCCGTTTTTTTCCCCGAGGAAAATAATCTAGTGGATTCGAAACGGCCTCGCTTTTTTAGCCCAATATTTCACGATTATGTTTACACTATTTTCATTCAATGTTATTTACCGCAGAGTATCGGAAATTTCCTTCCAGGTTGTGGAAAATAAAATCACGTTGATTGATATTGACAGGGTTGTTTTATAAAAACAGTTGTCTTGTCTTAGTAAATACCTTTTTTAGCTTTCGAAATTACTAATCACTTTTTTCAGAAAATGGATCTATTTTTACAAAAAAAGTTATTTTATTATTCAAAAAAAAGAATATTATGGTTAAAAAACATTTTTTATTTTTAATTTGAAAACAAACAATTCAATTGATATATAATGATCTTTAGAAATAAATTTATCGAGAGATTTAAAGCCTATTATTCCTTACACGGAGAGAATTTTATATAAACGCTAACAATAATTACTTTGTAGATTTTACTATCTCAAATGATTAAAGTGAAGTTAGTTTAGTAGCGAAATTATCAATGTCAATCGAAAAATTGAAGTCTGATTCCTTATTCGTTTAAGATCACAGTTTAACAGTAAATTATTTTTCAATTAAAAATGTACACAGAAAAAAAGGTTCACAAGCCAAGGAAATATTTTTCTTCCTAATTATTTTCTTGAGCGAAAAAAAAAATTTTTTTGACAAGAAATTTCACTTATTCCAACAAAATTAATTCTCTTGCTTCAAGAAATACGTATCTTGATCCAAGAAAATTTATTTAAGTCAAGAAAATCTTGTTGTTTTGAGAAAATTCAGCATCTTGCTCTAAAAAATTTAGTTCTTGATAGAAGTAAATTTTCTTGTCTTGAGAAAATTTCTCTCTTGCTCCAAAAAATTAAGTATAAAGATAGAAGTAAATTTTCATTAATATTTTTATTGATTAACATGTCAAATGGGAATAATAATATTTCAAATAATATTTCATCATTTTTTTTCATTCAATATGTATAATTGCACGCTAAAATAATATAATATGGGTATCAAATATTCAAGAGAAAAATTTTCTCAAGGTGAGAAAATTTTTTTCTCAGCTGAAGTAGGTGGCGCTGCTTCCCTACAGTATCTAAAAATCTTGATCAAATATAAAAATTTATTGTATCAAGTATTTATGATAATTTGAATTAAGAAAAAATGACTTTTATCAAGAATAGAATTTCAAGAAAAATTTTTACTTCGGCCAACAACTTTGGTCTTCCTTCAGGCACCCGAAAATTTTCTTGAGCCATGAATTTTGTTCTCTTGTCAAGAAATTTTTCTTTCTGTGTATTTTTTTAACACTATTAATTTTTTTTAATTACTTGATTAAACTAAGCTTTAATAGTTCAAAATTTTTGAAGATTATTTTTTATAGTTCAAAATTTTGTGAAAATTCTATTTTTTACGTCAAACTGTTATAACTTATATTTTTTTTTGCTGTTCCGTGTGTTAGAGATAATATTGTGATGTCTATTGTTGTGCTAGTCAAGTATGAGCACATTGAAAAGGTATTTTAGCGAGAAAGCCGGATTGACGGTCTGTCAGATTGTATTAATCATTTCATTCATCGCATTCACCAACAAGGGTCACTGAATTTTGACAGTACGAGCGTGTTTCAAAACGGATAAGCTGTCTAAATGCCTGGGGGACCACTAACGGGTGTTTTAGTGCTGATAAATCAATCTATTATTAAAGAAAATCATTCATAATCCCACAAACTTTATAATAACCGATTATTTATAAATAAATATCTGTAATAAAAAAAATTGCCACGCGCGGAAATAAAAACTTCTTTCTGGCATTTAGCTGAAAAGTAATTTATATTAAAAGAGCTTTGCATTTCCATACGGGTAATTAAATAAGAGTAAAATGAAAGAGAAATGTAACTCGAGGTATTTATGCATAGCCATGCGCGTGTGAACTCTTTTCTCCTTACGCCGAAGGCGAAAGCTTTCAAAAATTGTTTTAAAAATGGGGTAGACATGCCCCGAGGAACTGTTTCATCAAACAGGATTTATTTTATCTCATTTATTTTTTATTTTACTTTATTCTATTTAATGAGCATTAAATATTCAATTTTAAATAAAAATCTTATTCCTTTTTTTTAGATTAACAATCACGGCTTCGTGTCCAATGAATCTACAGTACTTCCCGATGGATCGACAACTTTGTCACATCGAAATCGAAAGCTGTGAGTATTTTTAAATAAAAGTTTGATTATAAATAAATAAATATAAATTGAATCACTAGACCGTGAATAGAAAAACTAACAAAAATAAATCAAATTTGAAACAATACACAGAGAAAAAAAAAAATTATTCTCTATAACTTTTTAAAATGTCAACTCAATTCACACAAAATAAATTACGCTAAAAAAATTAATAAACGCTCGGGAAAAGTTATAAAAAAAAATTCAGTAATTGCGACAGATTTTAGTTTCCCAAATTAATTTCATTTTCAGGTCACTGAAGCAAAAAATATAAAAAAAAAAAACAAAGTAAATACTCGTCCCAATTTATATTGACGAGTAACAAAAGTTTTCCCTTTTTATTTTATTTTATCCTCGGGCATTTTTTAACATACTTATACACGACTTAATACTTAACTATTTTTCCACCCAGTTTATAAAAAAAAACTAGGCCCATCTCTCTTTGTTTTGTCTTTCATTATTGTTTATTTTATTACACCACAAAGTCACAATTCACTCACCGATTCGTTAATTTTAATTCACCACACATACACACAGGTCATGAGTCATGATAATTTATTTATTCATCCAGTGATTGTAATTATAATGACAGCACTGTGTGCAGCCAATTGAGCACACGCTTATCTGCAATGTGCCGAGCACTCGTCAAGATAAATTGTTGGAATAAATAATACCAATGTGATGTAATAATAATAAAAAATTTCTGGTTAAAATTAGAGATATTTTTTTTTTTAAGTGAAACTTCTTTATCGACATATGAGAGAAATTTTATAGCTATGTAAAAAAAAATCGTCACGATTTTCGGTTACGCGCCATACTTATTGTTTTTTTTTTTATCAAAATTCAGTATTGCGACGTAAAGAATAAATCTAGTAAACATTATTAATTTTAAAAACAATTAAATAATAATTTAAAAATCAAACTCTTATAATTGTATTACTTAAAGTAAATAATTGCAATTATTTACTCATAACTTGTGTACTTAAGTAAGTTATTAAATATCTGCTTTGAATTATTTTTACTAAGTTATTACATGAAATATAAATATTAAAATTCGTTATATAATTTTTGTAAATTGATTAACTAATTTTTAGATTAAATAATGGCATGGTCTAAATAATGACAACAATGGTTATTACGATGCAATCGTAATTGATGAAATAAAATAATTATAATAAGAGCAATGATAAAATAAATTACTCATATTATTTGTATGCATGTCTTTAATACTAAAACAGCTTTAATTTAATACGAAAAAAATTTTTTTTCTTAAGCCTTATCGACTCAATTTCTGTGAAGTTGTAAATAGTAAAAAAAATGATATGTCATAAAGAAGTTTTACTTCTTACCTGTGTACTTTGGTACGCACACATATTTTTTTTTATTAAATGAATAAATAAAAATAATTTAAAGAAGAGATACTGAATAGCAAAACTAGATGGATCTTGTAGATTTTTATTATGGATATATATTATTATTATTTCTTCTCCCCGGCCACTTGTTTCATATATCCAAGCTGAACTAATGAGACACTTGAACTACTTTCAACCTCTCAGGATTTTTTTCTCTTTTCTCCATGATTTTTTTATTCTGCATGTAATTTAACCCTGACGATTTTCTACCGGGCATCTAAAGTTCATTCAAGTCACACGGGAAAAGATTTTATAATATATAATACACAGACTACCAGAACAAGAGTATATATTTATATATGATTGGTTTCTCTGGTGGCTTCTGGTGTTATTAAAAATTTCGTTCCACCCGTGGGGGAAATTCATATCGTCCGGTACTCCACGGGGGTAATAGCAAAAAAATCCAATATATTCACGAGATCCTTCCATGAATTTCTTCAATTTGAGATTGGTTAAAAAAAGACCGTAAAAAAAAAAAAATAAATAATAAATATTTTTCCTTAATAACCAAGAAAAAAAAAATTAAACCGATGAATATTCTTTTAAATTAAATCTCTTCTATTTATATTTAACGCTACTCTACATTTAATTTAATTTAATATACTTGTGTAATGTAATGCTAAATATGTTTTTAATTTAATTATATATTTATAAATATATATATGTGCATTTTTATTCGAAGGGTCTCCACTATTTGATACCAGATGTTTTAATGATACTTTTACACCGGAAAATAATGGACTTGAACTTTATATTTTTGGCAATGTTTGGTAACTTAAATTAACTGAGTAAAAGTATCATAAAAACAACACGACAGCCTCTTTGTACATAAGCCAAGCTAACAACTTCATTTTTTGCCATGTACGCAATAATATAAAACTTTAAAACTAAATAATTAATTAATTTTATAAATAGTTTTACGTTTAATGGAATGGATAATAATAATTATTATTATTAATTATGATTATGATTGATAATAAAGCGCTAATTTGTAACTAATGAGCAAATGATGTGCCAGAGGCCAAAATACAAGACTGCCTCGCGAGGGGTCCAGTTACGACGGACCAATTCCTCAGGAGCCTACGCAGCCCGATGCCGATTGACAGATATCGATTTTTAATTAATGTTATAATAATAATGTTTACATTTATGATAATTATTAAACTAACCGAATAACGCATTGTGCATCTCGCCAGCGCATGCGTTTCTAATTTAGAAATATTTATTTAATATTATTAATTATTATTTTTTTTTTTGTAGAAAATCTAAGCATGTAGTAGCAATTTGTAGATCTCCGTGAAAAAAATTTTATCATATGGCCAATTTTTGTAGGTGGGTGTATATAGCCTGAAAAATTTATAAATAATTTTATTAAATTATTTATAAATGTTTATATAACAGTTTTAGACATAAATAATTTTATACAGTTTTATATAATGCATTTTTTAAATGTAAATTTAAAAAATTTTTTAATGCTAAATTTACATTTTTTTGATGTATCACGGAAAGAAAAATATGGAAACTATTCCCATAATTTTATGGAATTTTTTCCTATGCCATTATAGATACTACAACCATAAATTATGAGAACAGTTCTCATAATTATAGGAAATGTTTCTATAATTATAGGAAAATTTCTTATAATTGTAGGAATCATTTCTATACTATTATGGAAATAATGCCCATAATATATACGAATGAACTCAATAAATTATAGAAATTATTTCTCTAAATTGTGGGAATAGTTCCTATAATAGTATGGAAACTATTTCCATACCATTATGGGAATTATTCCTATAGTATTATGAAAATAGTTCCCATAATGGTATATGAATAGTTTCCATACTATTATGGGAACTATTTCTACAATATTATGAGAATAGTTTCCATATTATTATAGGAATAATTCCTATAATATTATTGTAATGACTCCTATACTATTACACTGAGAAAAAAAAATTCTTTTATTAAGAAAATTTTCTTGATACAAAAATTCATGTTCTTGAAAATTTTCAAGAATATATTCTTAGCTCAAGAACTTGTTAAATTGATTGAAATAATTTTTACTTAATTTAAATAAAGCTATTTTCTTGTTTATCTATTATCCAAAGATTAATATTGATTCTCTTCTTTTTAGAAATTAATAATTACACTGAAAAAAAAATTTTTTCCTCCTAGAATACTAAATTTTTTACTCGAGTTTTCTTGATTTAAAAATACTGGTATTCTTAACCTTAGAATACCACGCTTTATTATAAGGCTAGTTTTTTGACAGTGAGAAAACGGTATTTTTATAGTTAAAAAACTTTCGTATTTTAATCATAAGAATACCAGTTTTTTACTCATAAGGAAACATTTCCTTGGTAGAAAAAAACTTTTTTTTCAGTGTAATAATAATAGAATATTTGATCGTCATCGACTTTCTTGAACCAAGAAATTGTTAATTGAGTAAAAGTATTTTTTTCTCTCAGAGTATAAGAATATTTTTTTTCTTGCTCTCCTAGCCGAAAGTACGCTCATCCTGGACGCACTTTACTCCAGGAAGAGCAACATTTATGACCGGCTCAGCCGGCTCTCTACGCATGTGCGCTACGCATATTTTCTGGCCGGCAGCACAGAGCCTCACTTTTTTTCGTACTTTCGTGGTGCGATCGGCCTATACAGCGAGTTTCGACTGTATATAACAGTCACAACATCGTCTATATGTAACATGTCAACACATAAACTAACCAAAAAGTGTCAAATAAATAAAAATAATTTCTTACTAGATTATTGTTAATGAACTATTAAATAATATAATACTGCACAAATAATTTATATAAAAATTTTAAAAAATAAAATATACAAGTTTTGTAGATTTTATTTGCTTTCTTTTATATTTTGACAGCTATAGTAAAGCGATTTGTTTATAAAACAATCCATGTACTCTACAAACTTCTAATAATTAAATTTCAATCTTTCTTAGCCGTCTAATTAAAAACTAATTTTTAATCAACTTAAAAAAATTAATTCTGTTATTAAATCGAGTTTAAATATTTGTGAAAAGTTCTGTGCATGTTATCTCTCTTAATCAGATATGATAGCCTCGGCCATCATATCACATACGCCAGGAAATCCAACTTTCTAGCCTTGGGTCGTAATATACTATTTTTTATAAAATAATACAGAAAACATTTCTATTATACACTTCTTGTCTAAAAGCTTCTTTCAATCCTCCATATTATGAGAGAATTTTTTTCTCTCCGGGAACCATTTCTACTAATTATAGGAATATTTCCTATAGTTTTCTTTTCGTGTAAATTAAAAAAAATTTTGCCTATAAATTAAAAATTCTTCATAATATAAAAATTAAATTAGACAGAATTTTCCGTAATATTTACAAAATTTTTTTTCCATAAAACGATTAAAAACATATCAAGCCATATATAAAAAATTTTCACGGATAGTTGTAAACAATAAATATTAAAATAATCCATAAAATAAGTTTGTTAATTCGTTAAGTCGCTTAAAAAAACTAAAAGAAACTAACAAATGTTGACGGTTGGTTGGCTGGCTGAAGCATTTAATTTT